GTTGACTTTGACGAAAAATAGAATTAGTTAAAGCTCTGGATACTACTGTGATAACCAATAGTGTAACGAACATTTGTATATGCGTTTGACTCGTTTTTAATATATTAAAACAAGTGGACTGTGTGTGTGCTGTTTGTTTATTGATGAATTTTGTCACCAACAAGTCACAGATACCTATTGAAAATAATCCAGCCCATCCATACATATAAAACCTCACAATTTCCTTTAACGTTACAACGGTTTCACTGGTAAAGACATTACGAGGTACATACTGAAAACCTTCAAACAGGTATAAACATGCTTAACAAAAGAAAAGCAAAAAACTTGAAAACCTTAACATTGAGGCAAGTAGGGAGAAGCTCAAGTTGATTTTTTTTTCTCTAAAAACTATCTGGATTCGTTTTTAAACTTCTATTTATTTCTAAGCTGCCGTACGTCTACAAAGATACAATGCTAGAAACCAGGTTTCTATACCTGTGGCGGATAGAGCACAGATAGTACTTTGTGTAGCTTTGTGACAAAAGATAATTAACTTGTTTTATTATACATCCACTTGGTTAGATTCTTAAGTTATCGAAATTAAATTAAAATCAGCTTTCTTACAAGGATGGATTGGGTCACTAAAACCGGCCCAGGACCACCAGTTGTACTAGCTCTAACAGTGTAATTGTGCCTAAAATTTATTTAGCCTACTTATGCCTATCGTATCTATTCATTATTCTTTTTTTTTAAGTTTGATAACAGTAAAACAGATATGTTTTACGTAATTGAATTGTTATTGTATGATACATTTTGGTGTATAGATACACACATACTCAAATTGAAGCAGAAAATCCGAAAGTACACGAATCTCTGTATGACCAAGACAAGTAGTTCTTTTGCGCAATAAGGCATTTTTCTTAGTGACAGCATCAATTACTACGTCAAGGCGATGCAAAATCTTTTTTTTTTCCACAGCCATGAGCAGAAAAACTTACAAATGAATGACAGATAGCGTACTTAGAAGTCGATTTTTCACAAACTTAAGAGTCCAAAAGGTGTGTTCTCAGGCAACTAGAAATGTAGACAGTGTAAGCATGTAACGGTAAGCGAGTCCAATAGCATTGTAAGTGTTTGTGAATAAACTGATTTTTTCAAGAATATAAAACACGCACACTGCACTATTTTGAAAAGTCTTGCATACAACTTCCTTCGGCCCATATTCATATTCAAGTCATCTTTTTTGTCCAATGCTTCTGGTGCTTCTTTCTTTCGAGCCTTGTATTCCGTGGGCAGTCCTGCTTTCAGTTGATCCCAGCTGTTAGCCAGGTGTACCAGTTCTTTCTGTAGTTGGTCTTTTGTAGCTCTTCTATCAATCGTCATGAGCTCTTTCATGGCTTCAGCAGGTAGTCCTGACTTTATTTCACCAAAGTGATCTGGAGACAGGCAAGTTACGTCGGTGATGAACGAACCATTGTCTTCAAACCGATTTTTGAAACTTTCTACACCAGTTTCCAGGATATTGTTGTGAACAGTTACTTCAAACTTTTAGTATCCATGAAGTATTGGCTCATCTGCACCCAATTTTCCTGACATGCCCTTTAGTTTCCTCATTCTCTGTACCGGAAAAGAATCTTCCATAGTTATCCATGTTTCAATATCCATCTCGCTGGACTTGGTCTCCAATTCTTCAGAGACTTTGTTGACGAAATTTGACATAGACTTCAAAACACTCCCCATATCTCTTTGTGCATCAACTAACTGGGCCTGTGCAGCCTAAACCAGCTGATGAGCCTTCAGTAGACCCATTCCACTAGTCTGCAAGTATTTTGAGAGAGGTGTTATTAATTCAAAGATTTTCATATGTGCAAAAGCAGTCACGATAGTTTCATATCTCGAAAGTCCAATTCGAAGTGGACGAGCCCTTGGTCGCACATCAGGTCTGAACTCGTCTTATTCTTTAATCAGGACCAATGCCAGGATTATATCGATATATCTGAATTCCTCGAAACCATTAAAAGACCCAAACACTTTTGAAAGAGCGGCATCCTTTGCCCATCAACGTATCTCGCCAATCAACTGAAGTCGCTTGACTCGCTTTTGATCTTTCATAACATGTTCTCGAATATCCATCCTTTTGTAAGGATTGAAGACAACTGCAAATTCGTTCAGCAGTTCAAAGATGGGAGATTGAGTTGAGTCTTTAATAACGAGGTTAAGGACATGTGCATAACACCAGACGTGAATATGGACTGGTGATTCCTTTTTTGGCCAAGTTTTTAAGCCTTGATACTCTTCTTGCATATTAGCTGCACCGTCAGTAGTATTTGAGACACATTTCCTTATGTATAAGCCGTTGTCATCCAAAACACCTTTCAACGTTTTGCAAACCTCGTTCCTGTTGAATCTGTAATGTTCACAACTGATATTAGTCTCTCCTGAACCTCGTTAACACCTACAAAGCGAATTATAATGGCGCATTGGTCCTTGATTGAAATGTCTTGTGTAGTGAACAGAAAACATACCAGGTTCACGAATTTCATTTGCTATTGCAGCCTTTATCAGTGCAAAAATCGCTTGGATAACATGGTTAACAATTGTGTGTGATATCAGTGTGATTCTGCTACCCTATCCTTTGCTACCTCTGTCATGTGCTTGTTTGCTTTTCGTTTTAAACCTATCGAGATGACTTTTCAAAACAACATCGTATCTGCTCAAAAGTATCAAAAGCTCCATAAAGTTTCCGTGATCAATCAAAAGATTGTCTAATGCATAAGCAGTTTAAGAATCTGGTGCAGAACCTCTGAAACTTAAGCAATGCTTTCCCATAAGCTTCACTATTTCAACAACACTTTTCACAATTTGTCTGTTTGTTTTTATTTCTTTAATTTTCTGTGTAGGAAACAGTAACTGCCCTGTATCCTGTTTATTTAGCTTTTTAAAAATATGCTTCAGCATATTCACGATGTGTACTGCTGCAATGTGTTCTTCAATTCGTTGATAAACATGGTGCCAAAATGTTATTCCAGTCTCATTCGCTTTGGAGTGTGCAAGGCAGACTGTGCAGTCAATTGTTTTTAGTGTTTCATTGTATGAGATCCAATATCTTTAAGAACCATTTCCCTTTTGAAGATGTATGTGGACATTTTCAGTACTTCTGGCTAAACATAGATCGAATGGTTTTCAAAAAAGTAACTTCTTTCATTTTCGTGGGTCCGAGCAAACAAATTAAATGTGCTTTCCGAAGTCGATGAAGTGATGGCTCCGAATGAGAAGTGTATCTTACTTTTTCGAATGGTTGAATGCCAGTGTTTGTTTTGTACATGTTGTGGTAGTAGTTTCATTCTTTGCCACTTCAGGTATTCGTCTCATCGGAGTACTGGTACTGGTGCCATCAGAGCGTCGTCCTTGGCCACTTCAGGTATTCGTCTCATCGGAGTACTGGTACTGGTGCCATCAGAGCGTCGTCCTTGGCCACTTCAGGCATTTGTACCATCAGAGTACTGGTACGGGTGCCATCAGAGCGTCGTCCTTGGCCACTTCAGGTATTCGTGAAACTAAATATGTAACTTGTCAAATGGCTAAAAATTAGGCTAATTGACACGTTGTTTTAAAAAGTTAAAGGATATTAACTTAAAATCAATATACTTACATACTATAACAAATTACAACAACAGAGAAATGGTATAAGAAAAGTTACATTGACAAACCTTCTCACAAAATATATAACACATTGAACGAAGAAATCTACAGATGAGTCTTCTGCTGTACAAAAACTCTAAGCAACAACAAGGATAAAATTGTGAAATGCAACCACATTGATGTTGAAGTGTCAAGACTGCACAGTGTGTATGTGTATATGACAGACTGAACGCTTCATTGAGTTAAATAATGTTACGACAGCGGAAGTTACGTGACTCTGGTGACACATAATGAGTATCTCGAACGTTCCTGAAGGCTCGAGCGTTTGCTAGACTCGCGCTTTTATATATATAAGACAGGCAGAGATAGAGACGGACAACTGAGTCAAGCGTGGTAGTAAGTTAAGTGCGTGAATCGTTCGTTGTGAATTATAGCATGTGTTTAAGTTAAAATGACTGTCGAAATTAAGTGTATTGCAAAGTTGAATTGAGAAAGAATAAACTAGTTTTATTTAAGAAAAGATTTGTATTGCTGAAGTTTCATCCGAAGAAATTATACGGGAAATTAGAAAACGACTAGAGACGTAATAATAACATTCCAGAAGATACGAAAATGGGGTCAACTTTTGTATCTTATCTTATGGAAACAAAACACCAAATTCATTCCTAAAAAACTTGTTTGTTAAAAAAAAAAAAGGTTAAATCTAAATGGCTAGCTTAGAGATTTATTTGTTTGTTTGTTTGTAATTAAGCACAAAGCTACACAAAGTACTATCTGTGCTCTATCCGCTACAGGTATAGAAACCTGGTTTCTAGCATTGTATCTTTGTAGACGTACGGCAGCTTAGAAATAATACAGAAGTTTGTATGTTTTGATCAGAATAAAAACTATTCCAAGAAACAAAAGATAATTAACTTGTTTTATTATACATCCACTTGGTTAGATTCTTAAGTTATCGAAATTAAATTAAAATCCTAGGAATATACGAAAAACGTTCAATGCTATATGGCTTTTTGTTAAAATTAACATTTTAAATATTAATATACATTAAAAAAAAAGAACTAACGATTTTCATAACAAACTACAAGTGTATATAAATATCGTTGCTGTACAAACCAATAACCAGTTCATGGCATAAAATATACAATAGATGTCAGATAAATGCTGAAGATCGATTGTAGCCAAAGCCATCAACAGAGATACAAAAAGTAGCGAAGGCCAGAGTCCCCACTGTAACTTTACTTACCATGGACGAGGAAATCATCTAGCTAGTACATGGTAAACCCTAAGTTTGGAAGGAATATTGGTAACAAGTTCTCTCAAGAAAACTTAAAACTTACCGAGTGTTAAGCAAAACTCCATGTAATACTTGCCCTTACCTTTAAAAATTGGGCAAATGTTCCAAACGGTTATTCCTCCTTGGCTGGTGTACTGACCTAGGGCTATTTCAAGAAAAAACATAGGAATGCCACCAACGATGATACAGATGAAATAAGGTACAAGAAACGCACCTAAAAATAGAAATAAAACAAAAAAAAATACATAATAATTAGTCAAACCCTTAAACTATAATGTACAAATGTCGTGCATGTTTTACTAATACTTAACATTATAATAAAAAAAAAATGATAGTAATTTTAGTTATTGATTTTCTTGACAATTAATCACAAAGTGTGTGAAAGTTACCAAAAACTCAATGAATCGTAACATAGACTAAAACAGTTGTGCTTCTTCAAATACCTCCAATAAAATATTAATCTGTGGACAATTTCTTCCATTACACCTACCCCCAATCTTGTGGTAGAGATAAGAAAATATCAGCACATGTACCAAGTCTACAGTAAACCATGTTGGCCAGGTTTCCCGGTCATGATAATTTAACCTATGTCGCGCCCCATAATGAAGTCATTTTGATGTGATAAAACTTCTATTTTTCATTGTAGAAGGATGGCGAACAACCAACAGTTTAATTATACATAACTCACGTCTCATGGTACATTGTTTTCTGAACCGGGACTATCTCAATTACGCGAGTTAATAAAGGTAAAAGAAAGCATATTAATAAATACACAAAAACCAGAATATATACGGACCAGATGTTTTATAACAATATTATGGATTCCTTTTCACCAAAAGTAAAATAATTCGATGTACCCTCTTCCGCGGAATGTTGTTTCATTTATTTAAGGTTCATCAGCATAGCTTGAGGTCAGCAAACCAAAATAATGTATTTAGTGTGAAGAAATCTGTGATGGCATTATTAAATAGTTCGTCCACCGTATAATATCGAATAATAAATTTGGCGAATGCCATAATTCACATACCTAAATTAATTTAGGTTACTAAAACATATAAACATTACATACATACATACTACCATTGCCAGAAGCCTTATTGTACTTGGTTTTAATCTCACGTAATAAGAACTTTTAACTCTGATGAAAATTGCATAAATTTTAACTAAAAACTGTTCTCAATAGCAGCATTATTAAAAATGTAACTACAGTACAGTGTGTCTGTATTACGCACAATGACAATCTGCAGCGAATAAATTCAAAGAATTTGCCTTCTAGAAAAAAAAAAAGGGTGGTCCTCTTTGACCAATGTTTGTGACCACAAATATTCTTCGAACAAGTGTGGAAAGACCACAGCCACATCATCTTTGGGCTCTACAATTTGTCGGACTGAGTTGTATTGTTTCAAATGTTTTACCATCCATTTTACGTCAACATAATCAGTTTTCTGTTGTTGTTGTGTTTTTCTTTTGTTGTTTTTTTTTACGAGAGTTATTAACGAAGTTAGTAAAAATAAGTGGAATACCTAGAAATAAAATATCCATAAATGAGATTAGGTATACAGTAAAGAAAAGAAAAAGAGGTCAAGTGTCTTCAAGATAAGAATTTTGACTAATTTTTCTTCAAATATATTTAATCCCATGGTGTTCTGCTTATAATATAGCCTTCTGGTAGCACAGCGGGAAGTCTGAGGGATTATAACGCTAAGAATCTAGCTTCAATTACTTGCAGTGGACTCAGCACAAATAGCCTGCTATGTAGATCTGTGCTTAACAAAAAAACAAACTTTATTCTACAAATGTTGCAATGGGCAGAAATTAGCGGATTTTTTTTTTTTTTTTTTTGCCTTGTCTATAACTCACCCATAAAAATGTCCCATTTCCCACGCTGTTACACTAAGTGTTCAAATTCCGCTTTCATCATTATGCAGTTGATCTTGTCAACATTGAAGTCTTGTAAAATCTAACATGTGTGACTGAATCTTTGCATGGTGAAGACGCCAATCCAGATTCACACCTCATACAGTCATGGTATTGTTACGTCTCCGTTCGTTAGTTAATTTTCGGTAAATTCGTTTTGATGAAACTTTAGCGACACAAGTCCTTTCTTAAATAAAACTGGTTTATTCTTTCCGAATACAACTTTACGATACACTTAATTTCAACAGTCGCTCTATAACAAACACCATAATTCACGTCTCACGTGGCCAACAATATTTTGTCCGCATACATTCAATTACTCATTCACTGACTGCAGTTCAATTACTCACTGTTCCGTCACGTTGTGACCATCTTATATATACCAGACTACTCTCAATCTAGTAGTCTCCCAATAATTCACGAAGGTTCGAGAAGGACGTGGCGTGATACTAGTCACGTGACTTCGCTGACGCAACAACAAAAAAAAAACATCGAAAAAGAAACCCAGTAACCCGAGCACTTTCGGAAAGTGAACTTTTCTCATCAACAATAAATGTATCATTATATCCTCAGCTAGATGTTCTAGTTTATACGATAATACTTGTTTTACTTGAGCAAGTTCACACTCAATGTCAAAAGCCACATCAACTGCTAAATCTTTCCACACAGACCTCTTTGGGTACGGTAAATTGTTGGAGTGTGTTGTTATAACAATTCGTGTGTGCATTTTGTACAACGTAATCAAGCTTTAATGTTTTCTGCGTGAACAGGCTGACAGCATTCATGAAGAACTCTGACAGGTCTCACACAAATCCCTTTAAAAGAGATGTACAGGCTGGTAAATACACATGTTTAGTAGCACCATTTAATGTCCTAACACTCAAAGCACTTTCACGACTTGAAGTATTAGATTCATACATAAAATATTGATTATATTACTTTACTACAAAAAAAAAATGACAATGGCATCTGGGTTTTGATATCCACTTGGTAAAGGACCCCAATAGCATTCCCAAAACCTTTATCCGCAAAAACACGTCTTGTGGTTGTATTCAGATATAGCTGTAAATAACAAAATTCCTCACCAAAGTAATTTCTTTACAGAAAAGTATCTTACAGACCCAAAATTATAGACAGATCTTCATTGGATAGCCCAGTACAGAGTTTAGCAATGTGAACAGGATCAAACATACTAACCGGAAATATAAAAATCAGTTTTTAGTTGTAGTTTAATATTATATTTGATGTTTAGAGAAGATCTCTTCCCTTACTCGTTTTATTTGTTCGTCCCATTTGTTCGTTTGATGGCGAGTCTTAAATGGCTCGCGATTCATACCATAATATCCACCCTCACCAGAAATTTCAGTACTGTCAAGTGACAGTGTCGCTATCGAGCGTTAATACAGTTTAGTGCAAAAAAAAAAAAGACAGCATTTATCATAACTAAAACTCATTAACTAAAATGGTCCTATGTGCCAATTTATTTACGACAACTTTTTTTAAAACATTAATGAGTAGACTGATTATTCACGTTAAGTTAAACTGTAGTCTAACTATTTTGTAAAAACAATTATGGAAAGTTTTTCAATTGTTTTTCAGTAACAGCTCTAGAATTAATTTTAGAAACAAAACGTATTTTTCTAGTCACTTTGGTTATGTTTCTAGCTGCAAAGTTAAATTTTTTCACATCTTACACATTTTTTATAATGTTGTAACACATGCACATTTCGTTTATTTACTCGAGTTTTAGTTTATTGTTTTTTTTTGTTTTTTTGTCTATACTTACAAATTCTTTATATTTTTTTTATCATTGTTAAAGTCTTCTGTGTTATCGAAAATGAATAGCCTAGAGAAAATTATACATAAGATTATCGTTTACTTTTATTTCATAATCTTCCAGCAATCGGCAAGTTTCGCTATGCCCACCGTAAGGATGAATCGCAATTTTTAACGTGGCAAACGCTCAAACTTGACACCGTTTCGTTTTCCAAGATTTTTTAACTTCTGGATTTAACAAGAGTTTCATATAATAATTCCTTTAAAACTTCTGTAAAATTCATTACTGAAACTAAACTGTACAGTACTTGAAATACTCCAGAAACAACAAATTTTAATACTAACATCTTGTTCGAGTTGATTCTGACAGATTTATTGGTAGCGCTAGATTAACTCTTACATACAACGTTAAAGTTATGCAACTGAACTTTTATAACTATACAGGAGACCGTATACGAACACACACACACACACACACACACTTTCTTTTTTTTAGTGAACTTGCACTTCAACCTTTCACTGCATCACCGATGATTGCGAAACTCAGAATATATAGAACTTGTTCCCGCCAAAAGTTCATCACTTGTGTGCCCACGGTTTCATTTCTTTAGAAAAGTGGCTGCTAAAAGGTTATGTTACTCAATAAAATACATTTATTATAAAGTTTAGGAATTACGGTTTGGTCCAATTTTACAAAGTAAATCACAAAATTAATCATTCTTATTCTAAAATAAAGAAAAATGAATTTACTACTACCTCTTCTGAATGAAAATTAGAGATTTAGTGAATTCTTTATCATAAGCTTATATTCATCGAACCCGTATTTTACTTTCAGCTACACACTTTTCGTTTCAAATGAAATCTTAGAAATATTTTATTTCACGGTTTTGTCATCGCTAGGCACTCATAGAAATGCTGTCTTTGAAATACGATTATAAAGTGTTTTTTTTCACAGAAGATTGATTTTTCCGTTTTGGTGAAACATGCAACTAGAAGGAGCTAAATGACATCCAAAAGTTTTTGTTTTGTTTTTTTATACCCCGTCAAAGTAAGAATTTTAAAGAGCCCAACTATGATTTGGTCCATTACTGAATGTAACATCTGCATTTATAGTCACAGATTGTAGAATTTACTTATCTCTAACAGTATCTTAAGACACTAACTTTAGCTTGTGTTTAGAACAGATTCCTACCTACAGTAATGATTCAGTTCAATGTCAGAAGCAAGAGTTATCGTGTCTATTCAGTTACTCCATTGATCAGCGTGGAAATTCTGTGAATTTGTTTGTGAACTCAGGCCTATAATTTGCGTTGAAGTGAGCGTAGCCTGTAGCAAACGTTATTGAAGAAATAAATATTTTATCGCTACGTGGACTGGACTTCTGTGGCATGTCTTTTTTTTTTTTTTTTTTAAATCAAATAATCCAAAATAAGTCGGCCATCGATAGAACACGTTATAACAATATGTACAACAGTTTTCAAATATGTTACATCTCCCACACAATGTGAAGTGCGAATGGAA